GCTTGGTTTTTTATTAAGATAATGCATGCTCTGTTTTCATACCATTTTTTTGCATGTAAAAATAACAATACAGGATCTGAAACCCTACTTTCAAGCATTCCCCCCAAAACTCAAAAAAATAAGGAAGTAAGCATATGGTTTGAGCCTAACAAGGCAAATGAAGCAGTGCACCTCTAAACCCAGAGGCTGCTGCAGCCCTGAAGCTTAGGTCTGCTGAGATGTGCCTATATCCGCGTTTCGTGTGGCAGCTGTGTGAGGTGCAAGGGCAGCACTGTTAATGCACCCATTTAACAGACAGTAAATCACAAGACTGAGGTCCATCTATGCAGCATGGAAGAACTCCTGCTTTTTATCCTTATACTTAGCTGTGTACAAGTTAGAATCGTTGACTCATAGAATGGTTTGGGTTGAAAGCAATCTTAAAGATCATCTCCTTCCAATCCCTGTGCCATGGGCAGGGACACCACCCACTACACCCGGTTACTCAGTATCCAACCTGGCCTTGAGCACTTCCAGGGGTGGTACACCCGTAAGTTCTCTGGGCACCCTCCAGTGCCTGACCACCCTTCGAGTAAATTTCTGCTTAGCATCTAATTTAACCCTGCCCTCTTTCAGTTTAAAACCACTACCCTTGTCCTGTCACTATCTGCTCATATAAAAAAATCCCTCTCCCTCCTTCCTAAGATACTGGAAGGCGACAGTGAGGCCTTTGTGGAGCCTTCTCCAGGCTAAACATCCCCAGCTCTCTGAGCCTGTCTTCACAGGAGAGGTGTTTCAACCAATTGCTCATCTTCATGGACTTCCTCTGGACCCACTCCAACAGGTCCACATCTTTCTTGTGCTGAGAAAGTTGTGTCCTTTGTTGTTCCTTTCAAACTGTGGATTTCATGCTTTTTCTCAGAAGAAACACTATTACATTACTTAATTTTAAATTTGCACGTTCGTGTATTCTTATTAATCAGGTTTATATAAGACTGCCAAATTAGAAAGATATTACTGATGTGTCTCATCACTTGAACTGTTCAAAGCACTGCATGAATTTGATCCCTTCACAAATATTAATCTGCCTTGGGGTTCTCCTGAGCACCCATTCACTCAGTTAAAAATTTGTGTTTGCATGCTGATGTTTGTTCCTGAGGGCTCATCTCCCCTAGTGAGCATGTTTAAACAACTGAAGTACTCTTACAATGAAACATTCAAATTCAAGCCTTTATTATTATGCAATCTGGGATTATTTTTTTTATCATTAGACTTCCTTCTGAACTGGGTGGTTGACACTCCCTGTTCCAAATTCCTGTCTCATGAGCTAGTTGTTTGGAAATACTGGCTAGGAAGACAAAAACCTTGGTGCTTTTTTTTTTTTTTTTTTTTTTTTTAATCTGGAGAGAGTGGTTTTTTCACTAGGTATTTGGGATTAAACTGTAACCTGATGGCAGTCCACAGAAATAGGGTAAAGATCAAAAGGAAAAGGAGAGCATGACTTGGAGGACTGATGCATTGGAAACAGTGAGCCTGATTCAAAGTGCTTTGGCTGTCTGAGGATTCTTGTGCATGACTTAACTAGTTTCTGGATTAAACCTCGCATATGCCCTAGGAGAGGAATGTGTACCTGCTTCAGCACCATGTGCTCTCTGGAAAAACTGTGGAAACTAGTCTGTTTTGTCAAACTGAGGGTTCTTTTACTATTCTGAACCAGAGATTTCTGATTAACTCCGTATCTAAACAATTTAATGATTCACGAGACTACTTTGACTTGACTCTCCAGTCAGATCAGTTTCCGTGCAGAACTTCACTCCTTGATCTATGTCCAAGAACATATTTATCAGGGTATTTATACAGCCCTTTAAATTCACTTCCTTATGTGAATTAAACTAGCTTTCATAGTTTGAAAGGTCCCTGTGTGTGAAGTGAGGATTTCTCCAAATTTTTCACGTGTCCCATGATCCTGTAGCGTTCTGCCTCTGAGTCCTCCTGCCGGGCAGTCTGTGCCGCAGGAGAGCTGGAGAGATGACTTTCCTCCTTTGCCTGCATGGATGTGCTCTCCCCGAATGCTCAGCCTCTCCTGCCTGGACAAGGAGAGCATCAGCATTTTGACAATTTTCTTGGGGGGGACTCGTTTTGCTTTTCGAGCAGCTTGGCATTCAAAATACCGTGGCCACTTGAAGAGCCGCAGATCCTTCAGGTTGCCCTGACACAGGTTGCCAGGTACTGGTGGCACACGAAGAGCTGTTGCCCAGAAAGCCTTTCATTGTTGAGCCTCAGCAGCTCGGAGGGCTCGGCCAGCTCCGGCATTGAGAGCAGCTGCCTCCGACAGCGGCGGCGGCCCCGGCATTGTTTTGGTGTCGTTTCTGCAGAGGAGCGGCAGGAGCTTACATCATTTCCAGTAATGAAGTGCCTGGGGTTCTTTTATGACTTGCACACTCTGCTTCTCTGGAGCTGTACAGTATGTGCTGCGTGACTCCAGGGAAACTGAGGATTTGTTTTGACTTGCTAAAAGAACGTTTTGCTATTTCTCTTTACAATTTCACCATATGACTTGTCAATTCTCTCCCCCTCTTAAGAATAACTTCAGATTTAATTAGCTGAGTGCAAACATCTTTCATTGCGGTGTGGATTATACTCCTCATTGAGTACATTTACCAACAGAATGAAAGCTTAATCAGGCGGTTCTGTATTTGTACTGCTGTGTCCAGAGAGCATGGTAGCTGTCAATAGACAGTTGCTGTTGACTTTTTCTAGTGCAGGATGCCCAGTGATGTGGGGACCCATCTTGTTAAGGCTTGCTCTTTGGTTCTGATGCTCTCTCTCCTACCTAAAATGCCTTTTCAGGTGTTTCATTACCATTTCCCTCTCTGCTATGTGAGAAAAATGATACTTATGTGCGGTGCTGGGATGTACTGAAGGTGCTGACATGTCCCCAGAAGTTCCCCAGTGACGTTTTCTAGCATATTTTAAATGGTAAAATTTATACTTTGCTGAATTGCAAAGTAGCATTTCTCATGAACCTCTATTAGACAAGTTTGGCACCAGCTTCCCAAAGCATTACCTGGATATCTGCATGTGTGTGCTTTGAATTCCTCTGTGCTGAATTGCAGTTCGCATTTCCACGACTCGGAGAACGTTCTCCTGACCATGAACCACCCAGAGTGTTTCTGGGGTGTCCTGACTCAAGCAACAGCCTCCACAATTCTCCATGAGTCCTGGAGTACATGACTGTTCTGCAGCAGCAGCAGCTGATTTACCTGCATGTGCTGTCACAACAAATGCTTTTTGACAGCATCAAAACCAATGAAAAACAGCACAATATTTATAATCCCCTTTGTACAACTGTCATCTTTTCTGTTAGCTCCCGGTATCAACCTTGTCATAAGCACTTCATAAAACACCTTTAACCCTATTAGCGATTCACTTCCCCAGAGTTAAAATTTGACAAGTCCATTTTTAGCCATCTCTTCTCTCAGAGATGCCGTGGTTTCAGTTTGATTCTTCAGAAGTGAATCATAGTTTCAAAACCCTCACTACCTGAAACACTCTCTTTTTCCATTAGCACTCAACGTGTTTAACATGGGTTCAGACATGTTATCAGAAACTTATACTAGAGTCCTTTAAAAAAATCCCGTGTGATTTCATGCCCTGGAAACACCTTCTACACTGTAACTATTCCTACAGCTATGGGGAGATATGAGGCATATGGATGTGAGCTAGTCAAATTAATACCATAATGGCTTCTGGCTCAACAAGCAGATACAGAGCAAACAGAGAGCAGAACAGCTGTAGTAGAGTTACCTTTTATGTGGGTGGCATAGACGTCTGCCAATTAAAATGATCTGATGAATCATTTCTTGCCATATGATTACTGTTAATAAGAATTTATGTTAACAAGTTTGTGTCTGAACTTTGCACAGGTTCATGCCTGCATTTATTTTGTTAAAAAATAGAGCATATCATGATTGTTTTTTGTTCTTAATGGACTTTCTTTCCTCCCTTGAAAGCACTCCAGGACTTCAGTAATGCAGAGCTGCCAACTAACCCTTAAAGGAAGATGTTTTAATCTCCATGTAGTGCTTTCTGTATGTAATTCTGTGTATACAGAAGAATAGCTTTTACCTGGGAACCTCAAGCTAAGTTTATAACTCCACACAGCAGCACTTACAAAGAGAGTGTGGCCCTCAGAATATGAACTTTTATTACAGTCTTTGTTACTGCAAACATTAATACTTACACTTTAGCACTGACAGACAGATTTTAGCCATTGACTTCATAACACTAATTCGCTGTGTGTAAAATCAAGTGATTTTTTTTTCCAGAATGAAATGATGTTATATTTATGGTGAGAAATTAGGCATGGCAAAATGTTCTTTTAAATACGTTCTCAACAACTTACAAAGCATTTCAAAATATTTAAGAAGTTTGTGCAGCAAGGGAGACATTTTATAGAAAGAAATACACAAGTCCAAACATGGTGAGTGTTAACAAATTTTGATAAAGGATTATTGGAGACTCATCAGAAAAATGTGGTTTGAAATTCTGCATAAAGTAGGACAGGGTAGAGAGACAGGAAACAATTGCAATAAAACTGCTTAAAGTACAGTTTAGCTGGGATAAGTGGTTGGAGACTTATCATCCTTGTGAATCTTGTTTGAGAGCCATAAGCAGAACAAACGTTTTGGTGGAAGGACTTGTTCCCATGGGACTTAGAACAGTTAATAGAAAATATATTGAGGAAAACAATCCTAAAAAGACAAAGGAGGAACTTGGCAAATAGATACTTTCTCTCCCTATTTGCTCTACTTGCAATTCTGCCACTCACATAGGTGGAATAGAAGACACTGATAAGCAAAGCTTTACTATGGCACTTAGATTGACTTTCGGAGGCTCTTTGGCTAACAGCCTCCTCTTCCCCTCTGCTCTGTCCATGCTTACTGATGCTTTGATATCACATTTGCATCCATTTTCCCTGCAGCATCAATAAAACAAGAACTCTGCTATGTTTTTTCCAGTGTCATCCTGCATTACCACCTACAAGAAGACACCGCCTCCAGTCCCACCGAGAACTACCACCAAACCCTTTATTTCCATCACAGCCCAGAGCAGCACGGAGTCTGCCCAGGATGCATACATGGATGGCCATGGACAGAGGGGAGATATCATCAGTCAGTCTGGACTTAGCAACTCCACAGAAAGCCTGGACAGTATGAAGGCACTGACAGCTGCTATTGAAGCTGCCAATGCACAGATCCATGGCCCAGCAAGCCAGCATGTAGGGAACAATACTGCCACTGTCACCACCACTACAACCATTGCCACTGTTGCAGTAGAAGATAGGAAGAAGGACCTCTTCAAGAAAAACAGATGCTTATCTATTGGAATACAGGTACAGTATATGACATGGAATATATGCTTGCCAGTGTTTTGGATAAAACAGAAAACATCTGTTTTATTGCTCATTATACAGTGTTTTGTGTATTTTTCTTCTTGTCCTGACAGGTACCTATGTAGAACTTGCATCAACATAATCATTCCGCATGGTACTAATGATGTTTTCCTAATTTATCATAAATACATCAGATGCAAGGATTTGTTTGAGTCTCTGTGCTGCTTGTTATTCAGCTCTGTTAAATTACACACATGAGCACTAATCTATGAATCATAACACAGCGGGGGTCAGAAAGGCATGAATTAAATCATTGAAAGGGAATGTGTAAAACAATGATTTACATTACACTATCACCAAAAAAAAATTTCCATCCAGCCTCACTGAATTAATTGTCGCTGCTTATTCATGCATTTCATAATGACTGGTAGCCACTTGAATGAGGCAGCATTGTTCCTATTTCAGCCTCAAGAGCAGAAGATAAGTTCCTTCTGATTTGCCCTTGTTAAAGAAAATTATATTTTGTTACCTCTCGTAGAATGAAACAAGAAAACCAACCTTGCCGAAGTTCATTTCTGTTTACAGAAAGGACAAAAGTAAATAAACTAGACTTGTGTAATCTGCTTTCTTAATTAATCTTTCCCAGCCCCCTACTCCCCCTTAAAAAAATGATGTGCATAGGACTACTGACTATCTGCTTGCAGGATTGGCTTTTGTAACGTAGTACTTGAACTTAAAATCAACTGAGAATCAACACAGGTTTTGACAGGAGATGAATCTCGAGCAAATAGAATAGCAGTCCACAGCTTATCAGCCTTCACAGGAAGACACAATTTTTTTTCTTTCAGAAGGTGGTTGTAAGCACAGCACTGTGTGTCTGGACAGGCTTATCTGGTTAGAAAAGTCTAAGAATTTACCACAAAATCTCTATATCAGCCTGATGAGATAGATGAGAGGTGCTGTGCTGAAGTATGCCATCCCAGGGGTAGCTGCTGGAGAAGCTGTGGCTTTTCTCTTACTTCTTGGAAGGGCATTAATAACTATTGCCCGTGGGCTCAGTTCACTGCCTTTGTTGTAGATATTTACTGTTTCACAGTTGTTTGTTTTAGGTATATTCTGAAAGAAGGGCTGATGTTCAGTATTAAACACAGGAGAAAAATCCAGGTGGAACAGGGATAGAGGAAAACACCTGTTATGTATTCCCATTCCCAGCCAACCTTAAAATGCCATTATATCATTGTAATCCTTTATTTCACCAATCCAAGAAACCAAGACTTCTTAGCAAAGACCCTGCAAAATAAGGGGTACAAGGAAATAATTTCCATGTTTGCAGAAGCCAAAATGAGCAATGGTAATGGGAATCATGGTTCTTGAAAGACCATCTCCCTGCTATCTCTCCTTAAGGCAGTGTTGCAAGTAACAAATGCTGCTTTTGAAAGGTATAGAGCCTCAGTTTCCTGAGATCTGAGGAAAAAAGAGCTACAAACACTCTTCAAGCCTTTGACAATCTCCCTCTTAAACTTTGAAGTTTACAGATGACCAGTATAATCACATGAAATAATAATGAAATCTGGGAATGGTGGTACATGAGGGTCTGCCAAGGCAGGATTTGTGTATAAACCCATGAAGATGTGGTACAAACCACCTGAAGCTGGGATGACATGAAGAGAAACCTTCAGCAGCAATACAGCCTTTCAGGATTCCTGTCTGTGCATGGTGCCACCCTCACAGCTGTGCACATCAATGAGATCTTTAGAATCAGATAGGCTTCACAGATAAGAGAAAGTTACTTCACTAGTCTGCTGTCTAATCCATTTTGCAGCATCGTTGCACAAGCAGTCATGCTGGTACAGCTGAAGGGGTAGTGTGGGAGTAGAAATACCTCAAGATAGGTGTTGATGCCAGAAATTACTTCTCTTACAAACAACTGCCCTAAAGGAAGTAGGTGCACTGTCAGTCCTCTGACTGGCAGTATAGAGTCAGTCTCTCTCCACTGAGTAAAGGGATAGTTCAGGCTTAGTCTGAACTCAGACTAAGTCTATCACCTTTATGATAATTCAACCCATCTCTGTAGAGCAGGGCAAGCTGCATTAGCCACAGGTATATTCTTGGTTTTCTTCCTCCTCTGCCAAATAAACCTAGTGTGCAGTTCTGATGAACCTCCATGTGTGTCCTCTACACCCCTCAGTCACTCTTAGGGCACTGCAAGCCTTCACTGTAAATCTGCTGAGCAAACAAGCAAAGTTAAGCAAAGAAAAGCCCTTCCATCAAAAGGTTGCTTCACTCTGTCAGCTATGGGGTTTAAGATGTATTTATCTCCCCAGAAACCCCAGTATCAAGGAACTACCTCACCTCACAGAACAGCTTCTCTAACTCCCATCCCTCACCGAGCACATTTCCTGCACAGGCTGGTCAAGTGGCTCTCAACAAGAGGCTGCTGGTGGAACAGTGACTACAGCTGGATACTTTGCATACGCATGGTCAGTTTGAGGCTACAGGTCACTTCATGACACTGTATGGCCCAAAGATTCTGTCTGCTGGAAAATGTTTTCCTTGTATGACTACCCATATTATATATAGCATTGGGAATTAACAACTACACCGATTTGACCCAGACTATTGTGATTTTGTTCAAAGACACATCTGTGGTTAAATTTTAACTTTATATCATTGGCACAAACCTCTTCATGGAGCTGGAGATGGAGATGTGGTATTAAGGTCCAGCCTGTGCTCCTGGGGACCACCTGTTTGCAAGATGAAGCTGTAAAGAAAATGCATCTAAGACTCATATCTGCTTTCCTTAAATCTTTTCTCTCCAGTGCTCTGATTTGAGGCACTAACATTTAAACAAAATAAACAAGTGATTTTGATATGAGTTCACATACGCATGCACGTACAGATAGAAGGTAAAGTCAGACAAATGGTGACACACAATTCCTGGAGTTACAGCTGCTCAGAGATGTGCTTTGACAAATGTGAGCATCCAGCCTCCATAAAATAAAAATCCAGCTGCATGTTGCAGGCTGAATATTGTCTTACTAGAAATGCTTTATAGATTAAGACTAATGAATATTCACTAATAACATCAGAAATGAGCAGACCACAGAGAAACTGACTAGATGTAGGAGCTCATGGCACAAGCTCTATGTGCAGACACTTAGTAGTTAAGGTGCATAGAAACTGCAAGCAGCCAGGTGATACCTGTGTTAAAATACATTCTAATTACCTGTCATGTTTTGGGTTTTTTAAGGTTGATGGTGCTGAAGAATCCACCATACCAGGTGACAATAAAGCAACCAGTAAGTTCCAGTCCATAGGAGTTCAAGTAGAGGAGGAGAAGTGGTGAGTAAAAGTTAACACTGTTTTTCTAAAGTAAATAATTACGCCACAACTAGTTTTTAAGAGCCCTAGTTCCTGCACACATGACCACATAAACCTGCTTCCTGGATGAATTGTTAGATCACCCAGCTGAGTCTTATAAATGTTGTAGCTCTTGTTTTTCAGAGAGGATTTTTCAGGACCAGTGAGAGAAATGGAAGAGAAGTCCCACATATTTTGAGGGCTCATATACTTTCAATAATCTCTTCTTCCCCAGAAAATCTACTGAAACAGCGTACGGTATTGCAGCTAGAGTATTAGTCTTGGAATGGCTGCAGCAGCCATCGGACAGAATCGATGAGGAAAAGTTTACCTTGTTTTTCAGCAGAATAATTTCAGCCACACGTAGCAGTGCAGTGGCAGAGCCAAACTAAATGCTTTTACTCAGGTATCTCACCCAGACATCTCTGCATTATAATTGCTCCCTTGCAAAAAAAAATTGTTGCGCTTACAAAGCAAGCCTGTCAAACTCTGTTCTCCCTACAATCTGCCGTATATCCAGAGTTAGTAAACAAATACCCTCCAATAATAAAAAATTAAAAGAAAAGATAAACTGGAGCAGCTGTCTTTAAAGGTTATGTTTCTTTCTGATGACAGATTTGCAGTTACTTTGCAGGGTACCATAACTGTGCATAGCACTTGGGAGACACGTAAAATTTTTGAGTGTTTGACCACAACTGCAAATCTTATTTCCTTCCCAAAACTGGACTCAGTGGCTGAAGAAAAGCCAGACTCTCTTCTTGCCTCTGAGTGTGCAGGCCTGCCCAGCATTGCTGCGACTCCAAGCACCCACACAAGTCTTGCTTCTCTTTTCTCAGGCCACTTGGGCACAGTGTGACTTTTGGATGCTGAAGATACTTTCTTGAGAACTCTCAGTACCTTCCTGTGTCGTAGGCAAAGCAGCATGCTTGTCAGTGAGGGAAGTTAGCCTTGTAATTTCTCCAGAGAAAACCTGGGTGCAGCAAATCTGAGCGGACAAAATTCAGGCACTCTCCCCTTCTCTGGCCTGCTGACTGCAGGAGCCAGTGGAGATGGCCATTTTCACAACTTTTTTTCCTACACCTGCTAAAAATACTCAAAAATAGCAGATTATCTACATCATTTACAATTCAACCAAATCTCCCTGTAAAGTAGCAGAGCGTTTTCCTATGGTTTTAAAAGGCTAAAGTGATTTCAGCAAAAAGAAACGTGATTTTGCAATGACCCTGCTAGGCTGTTACCAAGTTCCTCATTAACCTGCTAAAACATCTCTTGTTGGCAGACATTTCTTTATGTGTTAGACCTTAGCCCCATTTACCCGCAGCTCTTCCAGCACTAGATAAATGAGCACATTAGAATGGATGCTGAAGGACCATTTCACTTCAGCCTGGGCACAAAGGAAATAACTACCCCAAAAGCCCAACCCTCCCCCTCCCTGCAATGAAATAAATGTCTGTTTGTAAATACCTTACTTCCAAAGTCCTCTTTCCACTGCAGATTTTACTGCTCCAGAGAAGGTAAGATTTGCCTGTGAGAGTCTGCCCTGAGAAAGCAATATTTCTGCATTACTTACTGACAGCTGTGTTTGGGGGTTTCCTTGCTGATAAAGTTGAGGTTGCTGCTGTTTGGAGCAGACGGGCAAGCAGCAATCTATCATGGACTTTCAGAACTGAACTGGCTGATAAAGGACAGCCCCTAATCCTTAGAAAATGAGTGCACTCAAGACACAAAGGGCTTATCATCACAGTTGGGCACTCATACTCTTTTTTTTTTTAACTAACACAGCAGAGCACAATGTATTGATTATCTGTTACAGGAATAAAATTGTAAATACAGTACATTCTTCACTGTCCCTGCACCATAACATCTGCAAAACCTAAGAAAAGCCCTTTTTAGCTGAATCTTTGAGAAATTAATGGTTTTTTAAAATATCCCAAGCTCCAGAAATACTAAATAAATGTAAAATGAGAAGAATGACACAGCAGGAAGGATAAATACAGTAAATTGATCATGTTTTCTTGACAGTTTAAACTATTAATTACACTGTTACAAAACAAGAAAGCTCTTTGCCTAATGCACCAAAAGCCTACCACAACTTTCAGTCTTCTTCTTGGCTTCCTGCTCTTTCCTTCCCCTTTCCCTCACCTCATATGATTGTCATTCTCACACTAGGGAGCCTTACCTCCTTTTAAATATTCCTTCTTCTGTGTTTGGACCAGGTAAGCAAAACATTTTGCCTCCATTTCTTGATCTAAGTAATTCAAAAACAGAGCATCTTCACAGGACGGCTCTCTCTCTTCAGTCTTCCACTCACCTCAGATCTTTCATTGGCCCTTCACTTTCTGTATCATGGGCCTCCTGCCATAAAGACAAATGCCTCAGTCTGCCTCCTCCTCTTGTACTGCTCAAAGGATAAATGTGTTTCCTGCTACCTGACCACATTACAACTGGATCCATTGCTGCTATTTATCTTATCCTCAGTTCTTTATGCTGCTGGTTCTCAGTAATATTTTTCATACCCATTCCCTACCTGCAGCTCCGTGATTTCTAGCATTTATAGAGTAACTCTGTCCAGTCTTCCTCTTGGAGAGAAATTGGTATGCGTTTCTTTCAGCCTCATGATCTTACTGCTGTTAATCTTTTATCTCTCACCTGACCTTCCCCATGATGCTGACAAAACCCTAACAAAAATCTCCTTCCCTTATTCCTTGCAAGGCAGTTTTGAAAAGTGTACTCATCCATGCAATCTCAGGGCTCTTCAATTTCTGTCCATTTCTGTTTGTCCTTTCTTTCTACCTGTAACTTCTTCTTGACCTCAAGAGACCACCCTCCTCACTTACAGAAGATAATTGAGCTGTTAGAAATCAACCAGTTCTACTGAAGCAGGAAAAAAATAAGTAATTTATTCTGCCAAAAACAATTAGCATGCATTCTTCGTGAGCAACGGGTTTTCGGTCCCATGGCTCTGTAATCAGTTTTAGTCTCCCTTGTAATTTATCTTGCCTGCCCCAAAATCTCCTCCTATTACATCCTCACCTCCAAAATGGTCTCGCTCATTGTTCTAGATGTACCATCAGCTGGGGATTGTACCTGATTTCCCATCACAATAACTTTTGAATACTGAAACAACGGTAGTTTCTGGAGTAAGAACACTGGCATAGGAGAGTGCAGTGGACAGATGGTCCATCTCCCTCTTCTCTGGTTTCTGGAGCACCAAGGATATAAAATATCATACAATATACATAAGATATGTATATCTTGATATACAGGAATCCACAAGATCTTGATACACAAAGTATATCCTACCACAGCACACCTCTTGATATGGTATAAAGTGGAATCAATTGAAATAATAATAAAATTAAAAATAAAATATGGTAACATAAAGCAAACAATCAAACAAAAACCCTGTGCTGTCTCTTTCAGGGGAAAAAAAACCAAACTCACATCTTTGGATTTTGTTACTATATAAACTCATATTTTTCTGGTTTTCCTGTAGGTTTTTGGGTTTGGTTACTTACTGTCCAACAAAAAATACTCAGAATTTTAGTGTCCTATCTATACAATAGGCCAGTCCTACAAACTAACTCAAACTTCTCAACGCTGCACTTGTTAGAACTTTCAAGTCTGTATTTTGGGTAAGCTAAGCGAGAAGTACATGATGTGACATTTGGGGGATGTCCTGTGCAGGGCTAAGAGTCAAACTTGATGATCCTTTTGGGTCCCTTCCAACTAAGAATATTCTGTGATTCTGAAGACTCCTTGCATGGCTTTTCTCAGCAGCATTTTCTGGCTATCTGTATTCTCCATGGTGGAAGCCATTCCAGTGAGAATTTCTGAAGGTCGCAGGTGTCCCATTCCTGGAAACATTCCAGATCAGGCTGAACAGGGCTTGGAGCAACCTGATCTAGTTGAAGATGTCCCTGCTCATTGCAGGGAGGTTGGATTAGATGACCTTTAAATGTCCTTTGCAACCCACACCAGACCCTCTGGCCAGTCCTAACCTGGTGGGACTCATTCCCCACATCCCCTCCCACCCCGTGCATGCTTGTAGGAGGAACTGCTGCTCTGGTCAGCAAAAGGCAAAGCAGGCCCTGGCTCTGACAGGGCCAGTCTCCTTCTCTGGCCACAGCTGCCTGTGAGCCAAAGGAATGCCTACAACCCTGGTGGCTCTCCCAGCCAGCTGGTGAGCTGCTGCAAGGTTGGCCTTGGCAGAATTGGCCATAAATTTCTGTTCACACCCTGCTGATTGGCAATAGCCTCCCTGCCCCAGACTGAGCCCTGGAGGGAGGCTGAGAGATCCAGCCAGCATCTCTGCTCTGCAATGCAAAGGCCAAGAGTTGGTAAAAAACAACAAATAAACCAACCAGCTTAAAACAATGTGATGAACAAAGATGAGCTGCTGCAAGGAATGGGGTTGGAGCAGGAATATTGTTCCTGCCATTAGAAACATGGTACCATATCTGCTAACTCCTTCTGCAGTTTGTTCTGTTCTGCTGACAGCAGCTGCAACCTTAGCAGAGAAGCCTATCACCAAGAAGGAGGACAGCCAGTGGGTAAAGTAAGGCTGGATTTAACCTAAATACCTGTGAGATTGACCATGCATCAATTGTTTTGAAATCCAGACCTTTTCTGGGGTTTTGGATTTGGGTTTTTTTTCAGGAATGAGTCAAGTTATCTAAGCTGAATTGCAAACATGTTTTGAAAAAGAAAGCCAAAGACTTAGAAGCTGAGAATTGAATGCCAACAAGTGACCTTGTTATTGTTCAAAACACATCATTCTGTTGTTCTCCATACTGGTTTATCCAGTCTGAGGTTTCATGGCTTTCTGCACCCTAGGCCAGATATCTGCTGCAGTTCTCTGAAGCTGTAATTATTACGCCTTGTGCCTGCAGGGCATAACTGAGTACAAAAGGACCAAGCTTGAAAGCAGAAGAAGAAGCAAACCTCTCTGTTGAACTTCTTCCTTTTTTTTAGGTAGACTTTTGAATGTTTTATATGGTAGAAGTAGCAAAAACTTTATCTTCAACAGCTCTCCTCTAGTATGGAGTTTTAACTGAGAGCAAAGCAAAAAAGGTTAATGTGGGATACAAATGGTACTTTTTAAGAGTGAAACATCCTGGAAGTGAGTGAGGAAGCCGTGTTAGAGACTAAAATTACCATCTATTAGGCATTTTATATAGATGAGTTGGAGGCAGGCAGATAGTGCCTTCCTGCATTTCCATTTTTTTTCAAAATACATTTCCTTGGAAGTATTTTTTTAATTTTGAACTGATGCTATATTCTATTGCCAAGTTGTTTTTCTTTTGAAGACAGATAAGTTACATAATCCAGTGCCAAGAAACTGTCATGCAAACCTGTAGCATACTATTATATAGATAAAACAAAGGCAAAAAAAGTAGGTCATTCTATTTCATTTGTTAAGCAGAGTTTGGCTTTGGTGGTACTAGCTCATACTGAACCCAGTAAGAGTACACTCCTGAAAGGCTTGAAATGTAGAGCCTCCAGCAATACATCCTCCTGTCAAGCAGACTTTGATGCTTTCAGATTTGGGTTTTGGCATACACTGAAAAGCCAGGGTGTTAACTGAAAACACAAGTGGTCATCTGAAACAGAAGAGTGTCAGAGTCTAGGGCACTGAAGAAAGCAGAAGGTGGCTGTGACATGGAGGCAGGGACATGAAGAAGAGCAAGCCTGGACTAAGGCATTTGCTTTTCTCACCAGTGCTATGGAAGGTGTGGAAAAGTACACTATGTACTAATGCCTTGGCTCTCAGTGAACCCTGACTAAACGACTAAAAAGAAATCCTCAGTCAGCATGTGCCTAGGTGGGCACACATGTGGTTTTCTCTGTGTGTGTGTGTGTGTGTGTGTGTGTGTGTGTGTGTGCGCGTGTGTGTGTGTATGTGTGTGTGTGTGTGTATTTTAGTGCAGATAAGGCTGGTGGTCAAATTGAAGCAATTTCTAAAAAACCTAATATGGATTGGACCGATAGATTTTTACTATAATGTTAGCCTAAGGCTAGTGTCTTTCTAATCACTAGTGCTAGTATGATAGCCTTTCTCTGCCAGATATCTGCCCGTAGCAGATACTTAGGAAAAGTATAAAGGAGTGTGTGTAAAGAATAAAGTGTGTGAACTAAGCACTACTTCTCCCAATAGACATTCCCAATTTAGTATTCTGTTGTTCAGGGACTTCCTAAGCCAAATATGAGATGTGTAATGGCTCTTCCTGTGAATTTGATCAAGTTCTCTTTGAACCTATTTTTACCTTTGCTTTTTCCTAGGGTGGCAATTTAATTACACATTGTGTGAAGAAGTACTTCCTTTGATTAGATGTAGATCTTTAGACCTTAAGCCTTCCAACTGGCTGCCTTCCTCTGCACAGTTATTGCACTCAGAGAAATGGTGAAACATCCCCTAGTCAGGATTTCACAGATATCTCATAGTCCTCCTCAGCCATCTAATTTTCTAAATCTTTTCTCCTGTGGAAGGGATTTCACCTCCCCAGTGACCCTTGTCCTCCCTTTCTAACTTCTTCTGCTGTATCAGTCCATAACAAAATGTTTTTCTCTTCTTTCCAATGGATAAAAACTAGCAAGCTGAAGAATCCTGTGCACTCTCTATTTTTCAGTTTGCTGGTGCATATCATGCACAGCTACAGCGGCACAACATCTCTTTCAGAAGAACTGCAAGCAGCAGGCACTATGTTAAAATGCTTGTGATTATTAAAAAAAATACATACACAGTATATTATTAAAGTTTTCCTGGGACTGGTATGGCTGAGATGTTAATTTGAGCCTTCTTCTACAGAGCAATAATTGTGTTTTTGTTTTTTTAATGGAGGACCTTCCTCAACTCCTGTTTTGCTTTGCTCTACTCCACTCAAACCCCAGATCAAAAGCCATTAATTTCCTCTATCAGCAGGACCTGTTACAATCCTCCTTGAAGTCTGCTGCAGTCCTCCTGAGCTATCTGGATGCACCAGGTATATAGGACATTAAATTCTCCCCCAGCATCCTTCCATCTGCTCCCTCACCAGCTGCAGAATAGATATACTTGATGAAATTTTGCCGTCAGTTGTACTTGTCTGATTGGCTATTGCTCTTCAGTGGAAGGTGGAATATAAATGAAAGGAAGTGAAATGGCACCCAGCATCCAGTTCCATCATCTTTTCAGCATTTTCACTGCTGCTTGAGCGTAAACTAAAAACAGAACTGGAAAGGGCAAAACAGCCAAAATATCACAGGGAAATGGGTCCTAATATTAGTTTAGTGTAGATGTGAGATTGAGAGCAAATTGGAAACTACTCGCTGCATGAGTGCACAGGCATCCTGGATTTGTAAGAAGAGGAGATGGGAATCTGTCCCTATTCAGTTCAAAACTATTAATTCTGAACACTAAATATTACTGATTTAAGAGACATCTATGTTAATTACTTTATGGTTCTACCTTCTTTTTCATCATGGGGCAAGACAGCAGTTCTGCCTCACTTGTTTTCCACTCATGCCTTCCACAATTCACTGCTAATCAAATGGACTCTCATTACCACCCCCTGCAACAGCATTAGTCGTGTTTCACTCCTCATAATTCTCTGTGCTCCTCCTCTGTCAGCCTTTTCACATCAGACCCCTCAGACTGCAGAATTTGAAGTGCTGTTTGCGTAAAGAAAACCCACCCCGACCCAAACCCCCAGACCTCCTCTCTTCCCTGCTCTTGACCTCAGGGTTGTTCTCAGCCCTCAGATGCCCCAACACAGGGGAACTCTGCAAGGATAGAGGAAGCTGCCTACAGGAGAGCAGCCACCACAACAAGGGTGACACAGACAGGCAGAACGCTAGCTTTGGTGAAAAACAGATCATTTTGAAACCGAAGTTTGAATGTGAAAAATAGAATGTCTGGACACTGGCAACAGGCACTAAAATTGTGAGAGATGGCAGATACATAATTATGAAAAGTAGTTATGAAGAAGGATTAAAAATACTTACCTGAGTTAAAAGTACTTTTTTGTATAAATTGAATGTATAGTATTACATATGTAGTAGACTCATTGGTATTAGCATCTTACTGATTTCACATGTATGATTTTTAAATGTAGCTTTTGAGTCTGGGAGTGTAACTTCACAGGAGTGTGAAGCTACACACCCAAAAAACTGAAATATAAACCACTTCTGAAATAAATCAGTAACCTAAAAACCTGAGCTACTGGCACTGTTAGCTCTCTCTTGAGCTGGCCTCTGGCTTTCTTAAACCACATAACAGTTAGAGGTCCTTTTCTCAATAAAGAGTGAGCTTGCATGGAAAAAGAGAGATGCTTGTTTGTTTGCTTGCAATGAGAAGAAAAAGATTATGCTGATCATTTCAAGAAAAAAACACCTGAATGTAGGACTGAGAGGTGTGACTGCCAGTCTCGGGAAGAGTGGCAAAATCTTAGTAAGTCCTTCCATACTGAGTTACCTAGAAAAAACTTTCTAAACATTTTCTGTTTGTGCTCTCCAAAGCTTTCGCAGGTTTACACGATCTAATAGTGTAACAACAGCTGTGCAAGCAGACCTGGATTTCCATGAGAACTTTGAAATAATCGACCCTCAAGAGGACAATACATGTTCTGGACAAATATCAAGACAATTTTCCCGAGATGCAAGCACCTCTACCGTTAGCATACAAGGGTCAGGAAACCACTACCATGCATGTGCAGTTGATGATGACTTTGACACAGATTTTGATCCGTCAATTTTACCTCCTCCTGACCCATGGATTGACTCTATTACTGAAGATCCTCTGGAAGCTGTTCAAAGGTCAGTGTGCCCACGAGATGGCCACTGGTTTCTGAAGCTACTTCAGGCAGAGAGAGATCGTATGGAGGGTTGGTGCCAACAGATGGAGAGAGAAGAACGTGAAAACAACTTACCTGAGGACAGTAAGTAACCACACACAGTAATATTGCAACTGCAAAGAAGTATTCAATATAGGTCAAATTCACCCCAGTGAATTCTGTATTGTGCCCTTTCTTACTTAGCTAATGAAGCTATGGTTGTGATTCTCAAAAGGACTGTATGTATGTATATAATAATCCTTATTAAAGCTGACAGGGAATGCAAATGCTCGGCACTTCTGAAACTCCAGTGGTATTAGCTTTTGGGATTGCATAGTTCAACGGATAATTAGGAGAGTGTGGTTAGGGATCTTGTAGTATTAATGTTTCTTAACTCTTCTATTTGAAATCACTTCTCATAACCTTAGAATATAGTTTAACAGATTGTAGTTCCTTTTAATTAAAGTCATATTTTAGTTGCCTTTTCAGATGGTGATTGGCATAACAGTGTTTAGATATTTCTTCCGACTGAAAGAGATTTCAGTTACGCTTCCGAATTGTCCCCTCTCTCTCTCTCTGCCTTCCCCTCTCCAGCCTCCCTGTATCTCCCTTACAGTTCTCATAGGCTTTGACCGTGCCAATAAAACAAGCTCTTCATATTGTGTGACAAAAAAACCACACACATGCAAACTACATCTCAGTTGTCACCCCTGACAGCAATATTAACCTACCTGTAAAGTAATAGGACTGTCTAGTAAACCTTCATTACTCAGAAGGGTTGAGGGTTGAATAGTTCACATCTTGCTCGTTCACTCTAATTAGGGCAGAAAGGCTGAGCGAGTGTTTCCCAATCCAGAATTTTTTCTCCTGGCAAAAATGAAGGGTTTTTTCCCATTTATTTCTCCTACAAGGAACAGTACTATTGCTAGCTGACAACATTAGACAGAGGTAAATCTGTGAGCTTATGAACATGCTCCTTGCAAATAAAGCTGTTTCAAATTCTAGAAGTGAGCTTCTGGGAAACACTAAGGAGCAGCTGCTTATAGAGAATTCAGTTTTTTATTATTTAGGCACGCCTAAGCATATTTTCCTGGATATACAAGTAATATTTTTCCAACCCCCAAATTAGCTTCTACCAAAGCAAGGACTTCTATTTCAGCTCCAGAATTGCTTCTAAAAATTTTCTGACCTTTTCTCTCAAGAAGAGAGATGTTTGAGTTCTTTTGAAATGTAAAGGTTTTGGTTTATGAAAGGAAAGAAATTAACACTGGGAAAAGAATTCTTAGAAATGCATAAGCTGTTTCTGCTGGAACTTTCCGTTCAACCCAGTGAATGAAAAGGTATGATCTAGATAGTCCAAGTTGAACAAAATTGTAAGCAATTGTAATTGGAAATTAATTTTAATGGCAAGTATAAGACAACCTGAATTTTAAGATACGTAAAGGTTTTCTATTTCTAAAAAATTTATGTTATATAATAGACTAACAATTTCTTCTGAAGAAAATATATAGAAGGTTTGACCTTAAAGCAGATCCAGATTGCCCACGTTCTAGAATTTTTGAATCTCATTTTTAATTCACGCCATAAATGCATTCAAAAATCTCTTTGACCATGTATCAGAATAAAAGGGTTTCTGTTGTTTCTGTAGTATAAAGAAATAAACCTCATGAACGATGAGATTTTAGATTGAAAAAGGAGTGTGAACACATAACAAACAGGAAATTCACAACTTTTTAAAGTTGTAATGACTTAGACTGGACATAAGGAAAACATATTCTACGATGAGGGTGGCGAGGTACTGGAACAGGTTGCCCAGGGAAGTTGTGGATGCCCCATCCCTGGAAGGGCTCAAGGCCAGGTAGATGAGCTTTGGGCAACCTGGTCTAGTGGAAGGTGTCCTTGCCCATAGCAGTGGGGCTGAAACTAGATTAGTTTTAAAGGTCCTCTGTAACCTAAACTATTCTGTCATTCTATGAACTGATAATACTGGGAAAACCTATAAAATATTTTATTTGTACACCAAGGTAGTTGGTGCACCAATAAAGTAGTAGGAAAAGAACATGAAGTGAATTTTACGACGCTGATGGATGCAGAAAACACGTATCTGTACGAAATTTTCTCTCAATGTCTTGGTGTCTTTGATACAAGACAGTTTTAAAGGGCTCTTTGAGCAATCAGTGGGAGGAGTCAGTTAGGGGGAGGAAAGAGGAATGGTTCGGCTGGCTATTTCCAATGCCTCCTCACAGCACACCTAGCATGTGATCACTGGTAATGGCAGGAGGAAAAGAGTCACCTGGGTCTGGTAGCCACTGTTGCATTACTTACTTCAGTGTGACTCTGTCAGCTGCTGTGGCACGTGGCAGCTGCCTCCCACAGAGGCTGCGCAGGGCTTTCTGCTGCGGCTCAGCATGTCGCGCTCTACCTGGTGCCAAGGAAAAGCATATGGCCGGGGCCACTCTGCCCTCTCAGCAGTGCCAGAAACAAAAGCCTGGTTGTTACAAACCCTGCCCCAAAAAACGTCTTTTTCATACATCTATAAACTTTAAAGAGAGAGAGGAAGGGAGGAGAGGAGGTGCATTTGCTTTGCTTTCCCTAATGAAACATAACCAGAGCAGGGAATGCATCCTTTGTTTCCAACCTGACATCCCCGGCATGTGTTTGGCCAGATAACAAAATAACGAGAACGTGTGATGAGCGAGGTTTTCTCGATGCCATGGCAGCTGACAGAGGGCTCATCCCCCCGGCGCTCCACGTAAAACGATCCGCGCTTCCTTCAGACAATGCGGCCCTTGTGCGGAACAGCTGTCTCGGGGAGACGGCTCGCTGCTGTTTGACAGTAGCTTGTATGTTACATAGATACGTAGGGTATTATCTAGCTGGGAATGAATCTACCAGATGGGATTGAATGTTTCTAGCTGGGAAATGGAGTCTGCTGCTCTGTATAAAAACAAGCTGTGGTTCAGCGGCTGCACGATGAAATGCCAATATAGAGAGAAATGTGGCTTCCCTTCCGCCATGAATTATTTATTGTATAGTGTATTCTGGTTTTATCTGAAATAATTTTCTGATGATAAGCCACAGCATGTGTGACAGGCAGATGAACACCACTCACACTTTAAGCTAGCATACTTGATATGATTTCAGTGTATTTTGCAGTTACAGGGAAGTTGGCTACAAACTCTAGGGCTCTTATAAAAAAAAAATAGAAAAGATGTTACACATCTGAGGCTAAACACCTTGTGAGAACTGATTGACGCTTTGGATCAGGCCTCAAGTGAAATCAACTGTTGACTTTTTTTGGTTTTTTCCTCAACCATCTGCTTGCTCCTCCTACCTCTCCCCTGCAAAATTTCAAGCAGTCAGAGTCTCACCACAGATGTTGGTGTCTTTATAGGCTCAGGCCTCTGTTGTCACCATTTACATACAAAATTAGCAGCAGCAGACCTGGCTCCCTGCACAGCCCTGACCACTTCTTTTCCCAGCAATGGTGGGCACAGGAACATACTCCTATGGCCTTGGCCTGTCTTTGGAGGGGTTTTTTTGCTGTTGTTTGTATTTCACATGGAGCACTGACCTTCTTGGAAGAACCGGAAAGCTTCATTTTGCCTCCCCCTGCCCCCTCCAGAAGTTTCTCTTTCACATGGGGCTGTACTGTGGCTTCGGTGTAAAGATAACCATCGGAAGCAAACAGCAGGTCTGATTCACCACAAGTCAGGTGTAATGTGGGTTTAGTGGTGAGACAAGCCAGGCCAATCAAGTAAAAACTATAACAGAAAACCAAAGCTCTCACAAGACATGTCATTATAACTCTCCTGCGTGTATATGGCAGCCCTCTGGGCAAGTCTGTGAATACAGGTTGACCTCAAATCTGCGGGAACCTCACTGCTCAAGACCAGAGCCTCTACAAATTCATTCGGGTCTGGCAAATTATGCAATGCTTACACACTGTGTCTGCTGTTTCGGTTTGTTTCGATTGTTTCAAAAGAAAACATAAAAAGAAAAGGTTAGACATGAGGGAATAAAGTTTAGAAAAAAGGGTACATTTTCCATAATAGTTGTGCATGGCAAAAGAACAAGAGACCCATGAGTTCACTCTCAGCCACAAGCACAGAAAACCATTTGCCATTCCTCTGCAGGGCTTCTCCGAGCAACCCTGGTCTCTGCTGTTCCGAGGAGGGAGAGTGCCTCATCCTGCAGTGGGCTGGGACAGCCGTGCAGAGGGATGGTCACCAGCCTGACATGTGGCCGAGTCCTGCTGGAATCCCCCTGGCTACGTGCCTCTGGCCACATGCCAAATTTATCCTTTTCTTATCCTTTTGTCCCCAGATGGAACATCTCCATACACGAGGGTTTCTCAAAGGAAGCCAGCAAGGAAAGCCCTACCAGTGCCTAGAGGCTAGTAGGACAAAAAGTGAAATCCACAAGCAAGGAAAGGATCTAGTTAGGGGAAAAAAACATTGAATGTGCTAATAAAAGCCAAGTAAGTCAGAGAACACATGGAAACTGCTTCAATCCAAACGAACAGCATTTGCTCATGCAGGCAGCCCTATTAATTTCAATGAGATCACTCCTGTAAGTATATATGACTCAAAGAAAGGACTGCTCCTTCCCTAGTTTGTTCCATTTGGCTGTTTTCTCCTTAACAGCTGAGCTTAAGACCTGAGCAGTAGCTTTAACTTTGAATTTCCTGGCTTTTGTCATGCTTGGCATTATTTAAATGTAGGTCTGTCAACATGAATAGGCTAAAATGCTGGTCCATCCTGGCTTGGAAATGGATTGTGACAGCTCTGTGGCAGGATTGCTTCATATGCATTGTGCCCAGCCAACATCTGCAACGCAAATGTCAGGCTGTGTCCCTGTAATTTCAGCTATTGTTCCTGCCACTTGCTCCTGGGGCAATGAGCAAGTCCCTGGTATTCTGTTCCCTAGCTTGGGCCCTGCCTATCAACCAGGTGTTTTCACATTATAAGGGCATTTGATAGTCTGAGTCCTAAAGTGCCTCCTTTGTCACTTGTTAGACCCTGGGGCCTGTCAAAGTTCAAATGCAAATACATCAGTTGGGGTTTTAAGGCCAAATAATGCTGTCCCTTCTCAAAACTCCCCTGGCTTCTATGTGATTACTTTTCACATCACTTCAGGTGGGTTTTGTTATTTTCTTCTATTTTGTTATCCTTGTTACACGCATAGCCACCTTCCTAGTTAGAGCAGATGACAATAACTATTTTTTTGCTTGTGTCCACAATTCTTTTATTTTGTTGTTTTCCTATTTCTTTTCTGATGAAGACGTGGAGGAGGGAAATACATAGAGCTCTACAATTTCAAAACAGGTCCTAAGCAATTCTTAGAACCAAGAGAAGCAAGAACTTACTGCTTGGACAGCACATAGTCCAAGTCTATTTTCAATAATATTTTAAAAGAAGAACATGTTGAGGGGTCAAAGACACAAGGATATTCACTGCTATGTGTCTGTCCATGAATAATATTCTGTGATTCCTAGATAAGAACAGTAATAGTGAGGAGGCATTCCAAAGTAGCAGAATTCCATCAAAATAGCTATAAGTTCTTCAAGAATAGACATAATTGTCCATGTCTTAAAAAATGTCACAGGAACGAACTGGATTTACAAGGAAGATGGGTCAAAGCAAGAAGGGAGGAAGAAAAAAAAAAACAAAACAAAACAACAGGAAAAATTCAAACTATAAAAAAAAACCACTGCAGTACACACACTTTTCCCTCTGGGGAAGAGGTGACAGCAGAGCATATGATGGATGTTAATAATGTTGCTTAATGCATTACTGGAAGGCATTCAGATCCAACAGTGCTGAGTGTGCTGTATAGCCCTGTATAGAACAGAAAGCAGATATGAATAACATTATATAGGTGTTTAAATCCATTATGATTGCATCTTGATGGGTTGGGATTTTTTGTTGCTTGGTTTTATACGTTTTCTTTGTATCCTATTAGCTGAACACATCAATTTGAATGTTTATGTGTTTTTCCTCCTGTACCCCATCTCCCTTGCTGTTAAAGATTTCTCTGATTCTTTTCTGATTTGTTTTGAGTATTATCTTTGCAATTCCATTTATTTTCTTGGTATTTGGCTGCAAACCTTGCAGACTTTTCTGCTAAGAAAATCTATTGGTCTGTTTTTGTTTTTGATTTTTCACTACACCTTGGCCTTTCTGTTGGGCACCAGAGATTTTGACTGAGTAAGCAAAATGAGCACTGTGCCTTGAAACAGTATGAGCAACGTGGGTTTAGAAACAAACTTAGTCTATTGATAAGGCTTTGTGTCTTCTAGAGACATTCCTTTCAGTTTTTTGCATGCTTTGTGTTTTGTCTTTCCCCCCCTCCCCGCTAACTTCCGTGACAGAGTTGGTTGTTGACGAGTTGCACATTAACAGACCCCTTGCTTTTGAGGGGCAAGGAATCAGTGACACTTGACTAGATACAGCCACAGCTACAACAGAAGTGGCAACAATAGAGAACAGCATCAGCATGCATCCCGCAGTCAGCTGGGATGATGGTTTTTAGGCAAATAGCCAGTCACTAGGCAGCCAAGGACAAGGACTTCCTTTTCCCTCTGTTGAGATCTCTGAATATTAAAGCTCTTCTTCCCCAGAAGAAAGGGATACATTCCCATCCATCACCAACAAGTTGTATATGCATTTCTTCATGCTTGGGATGTGATTTCCAACTCATTTGGTGCAGGTTTCCAGGAAAAGCCCACCTCATCTTTTTTTTTTTTCCCAAGAAGTTGAGAGATGTTTTTCTCCCCTTCTCAAGTCTTGGGAAGCGTCAGAGTGGCCGAGCTCCAGATGAGGCAGCTGTTCCCAAATATACTCAGTGGGAAGAGTTTTCATAACAATGGGAACCACATGAAAGCTCTCAGAGTAGCTCCTCCTACTATTGAAAAGTCCTTTCAGTTGAGTGGTTTGCATATTGGGTTGCATAAATGACGAGACACACCAAGGGGTCCATTTTCAGCACTGTGCGCATAGAATTAGACACGCAAGCCTTGCTAACAATAATGAGAGTTGTGTGCAAAACTCCCTGCGCAATATGCTGAAAATATTCTGCTTAGTGAATCTTCCAGCTCATGGCTATTTCCTGGCAGTGCTGAGCTGAGTTCTGGGAATGAAATGAAAGTCTGGGCTCTGTGTGTGTTCACAGAGCTCTCTCCTATAGGTTCTGAAAAAAACGTGCACAGACTCTCTCTTCCCTCCCCCTTTTTTTCCCCCCCTTTGTATGTCTGAAGTATAAATGAACTCCACATCCCACTTAAGCCTTAAGAAGTGAGCTTTGAGGCTGGTGGAGGAAAAACCATTTGCCTTAAAGGAGGAGAACACAGATTTCGTTATTACTGTGTATCAGGTTTCAGTTTACCATGAGTATTTGTGCCAGTCTGCTTAGCATGTGGCTACTCAAGCCCTTGGAGAGGCCTTTCTCTTACCAAGCAGTGTATGGTGGCATTCTGGTAGCCAGCACTACAGCCAGTCACAGGACCAATGAAACGCTAAAAATCTTGTTAGAAGGGGTTATAGCAAAGTTGCATGTATTTATGTATGTATGTGTTCATTTCTTTATTTTTCATTGTGGTAAATCAAAATACTTAGCAATATTTTCCCAGGGGAGCTCTGTTAATGCTGTCTTAGCTTTTATACAAAAAGTGACTGTGCTCAAGGGGTGGTGCAGAAGATGGCAGCTTAGGACTAGTATCTCTTCTAGGCTCTGACAGGAATTCACTCACCTTGAGCAGGCTACTTCATCTGTTTGTTTTTGCTGCTCCTCCTTCACCTGTCTCGTATACCCAGGCTGTAAATTTGTCATGGAAAAGTTACTGTGTCTATTTGAGGGATGGGACAATACAAATATCTCTGAATAGTAAATGATAGTGAGAACTGTGACACAGTGGCTGTCACTCATGTTTTTCATTAAGGAAGTGGTAGTATTTTTAAAAATTAATTAAAATTATTTTTAATCACTTGTTAACCAGAGAATTGGGGATAATAAGTAGTTTCAGCTGAGAGGGAAAATTAATGAAGGAGCCAGATAAAACTGTGATGCCAGCCTGTTTTTTCAAAGACCGTTTTGGCTTTTTTTTCTGAGCATTGGAAATCTCAAACAAATCGGTAGCTGCTTTCTTGCTCACAGCATCAATTCAGCAGTCCCTAAATTCACACTCTGTTTTCTGGATTCGCTGTCTTACTGCCAGCTGAGGCCACGTGTGCCTTTCTGCTGTGTTTCTGCATTCTCACTTCTTTTTTCACACACACAAAGTACACACATACACGTGTCCACACACGTACAGGTACACACAGAGACTCCCCTGGACCAGAACTCCCCCGGGAGTCTCTGAATGCACCCATCTATGCCTGGGTTTGGGGCAGTGTATTCCCAGCTACCCCTAGCAGCAGTAAAATCCCAGTGTCTGAGTGAGGTTGAATGCAACCAAAACAGTGTGAGCTCCTGCTTTATTCAGAGGCATTTACTATGGGCTGTCTTCTGGTTCACTGCAGCCCTTCACAGCGCTCGGTCAGTCCAAAGGGGCAGTAAGTACCCAGCTGTCTGTACAAAGGAGTGCTCAGTCAGCTGCGCTGGGACTCTTGGACACCTCCAAGCCACCAGCGAGGAGAGGCCAGGGTGCGATTGCTCCCTGAAGCACTCCTGGGCACTTGAATTCAAAGGCAGAAGCAGCCTTGGATTGTGCTCATGGACAGTACTCAGAAGGTCCAGATGAGATTCATTGGCGTGTGCTAAAAGAATCATCCCCTTTCTGGGGCTCTGATGGAGCAACTCTCAGCTACACCTGACAATAAGGCAGTGTTGCTCGGTGAGTTGCTCAGTGAGGTGGTGAAGCAAACAGGGCTTGACAGCCACATGTCCTTGTGCAGGGAGCTGGGTTTGTGTTCAAAACTGAGCCTGGGTCATAGTAATAACATTTGGTGAGCTTTCTATACTGCCTGCAGAAGCTTTTGATTAGCCACATTTACACTGTCATTACAACTGGTTGCAACTGGTCTCACTGGAGGAATGAGAGTAACATGCAGCAACCTTTTACATATTTTTTGCCTCGTGGAGATCTGACCTCAGATTTATCATCTTCTCTCTTTTTGTGACTGAAAGATAACATACCTTTTGAAAGCCAGAGCTGACTGCTGCACAGCTTTCTCCTCTCTTTTTATAGGCTTTTAGTTGCCTGCAGCAAAGAAAGCATTGTGACTTACTCTTCTTTTTCTCTCAGTTCTAGGGAAAATTCGAACTGCAGTGGGCAGTGCCCAGCTTCTCATGGCTCAGAAATTTTACCAGTTCAGAGAACTTTGTGAAGAAAACCTGGTATGTAATTTTTCTGCTGGATACTAATGTGTGCCTTTTACTAACCCTGTGAATAATCCTGCATAAACTAAACTGATGTTCTGAATAATATGGCAGTTTTTCCAGTAAAGGCCTTGATATTAATTTGGGAGTAACTCAAAATTGTCAGAGTCAGCAAGAGTTTCACAATAGCTTGAGAGCCTTAAAATAAAGGTGAAAAGCTTTGGGTAAACTATCACTGAGGCTCTGCTACTGACTTCAGAGGAGCAAGGTTCTGTCCCTTGATCCCTTCATGGGCACACAGATGGGTAAAATACCTTAAGGTCCTTGGGAGTGGATCAGAAATTTCCTGAGTTGGGCTTTCTCAGGTGTTCCTGGGAAACAAGTTCCAGACTAAAATCTGCCTCAGTGGATAAATGCAACAGAAATTGGCTCTGTCTTTATAAGACTTCCAGTTCTTAATATAAAAACTGAAAAAGCCTTCTGATTGAGCATCTTTGCAAATAACAGCTGACAACTGGGCAATCTGCGAGGGTCAAGCACTGATAAACTAGGAATCAAACTGTAATCTCTGGTCTCCTTATGATTCTAAAAATATATACTTTATTGTTTTCAATAATTGCACCTTTCATAGTATAATCATCCTACCAAAATCCTCTGTAAATGTGATTGTGAAAAGCAGAAACAGAAATTTTATAAGGCAACCAACTGACTCTTTTGAGTTTATTGCTTCTGAGGAGGAAGAAAACTAAAGGCAAAGTAAAACTTGAGCCATGTAAAACATCATGCAAGGTGCTGCTATTAATTTATTTATTAACAACAAAATTAATAACAATTTATCAGTGTAGTTTGACAAGGCCACAGCACCCACCAAACCTTGCTGGCTGGTGTAGGGACTTCTCAGCATTTATGAAAAAACATGCTTGAAGTGAGTGTACGCAACATCTCATTTTAATTAAACAGTTTCAGCTGGGAACCAGCTTATAGAGAGACATCCTGTAGAAAGCCTTCCCTCCTGCAAGCCTTGCCAGTGGAGCAGGGATGGTTTTGTGTACACCCACTGCATGCAAAACATGTTCAGAGCTGGGGTGCACTGAAGGGACAGAAGGACAGGATTTCTTGGGTCTGGCCCAAGCTGTGCTGAAGATGCTGACTGTACAGATGTGCTTTTCTGAGCAATGCTCTTGGGCTGATAAGTTTGCACACACAAAGCAATGCTACCCACCTGTGTCCCAGTTTCATTCTTCCCAAAAATCTGCCTGTAAAAATGGGTTTACTGTGCTTCTGCATGTAGGGCTTTTCACCCTGCCTAAGTTATTCTTGACAAACAAACAAACAAAAAAAAAAAAAGAAAGAAAAAAAAATTGGCCTAAGACAATTTCACCTAGTGTATTTTTGTCAATGTTACATCCTCAGAGTGCAAGAAAAGTGTTCACACATTGATATATCATTATTGGCACATGCAGGAAATGTACATTTGCAGAGGTATTACTCTTTTTTACAAGTGTGAGCATGGTGGGGAATCTTTCCTCGTGAAAGTGAAGAAGAGAGGCTGGCAATTCATTTCAGTGCAGATAGGATTGCCACCAGTTGTGCCCGGGAACATCCTGTGGCAGATCCTGCCACAGGGGCCCTTTACCCTTAGTCTGTGGGGGGTACCTGCTGCCTTTGCTGAGTGGATGTTGGCAGGGCACAGTAGCTCAACGCCGAGCCACATTCCTCAAAATAAAACCTGCCAGTAAGTAATGCTTTGCTTTGCTCCTCTCTCCGGGTCTTCCCCATCACTTGGATCTGATCAAACTGCTTTGCTAGCGAGATTTGTAGCCATTTGCACAAATGCTTTACATTAAGAAGTACTAAAGCCAACATGTTTTTTTCTTCTGTTGCGCAGAATCCTAATGCACATCCACGGCCGACCTCCCAGGATTTAGCAGGGTTTTGGGATATGCTGCAGTTGTCCATAGAAAATATTAGTATGAAATTTGATGAACTTCATCAGTTAAAGGCCAATAATTGGAAACAGATGGATCCTCATGACAAGAAGGTAGAACACTGTAGATTTTGTATGCTTCATTTAAAACCCTGCACAAATACTGGACAGATTAAATAGGCCTCTGTGTTACAGCGTTGCCATTAAAAATGTGAAATGAAGCTCATATCAAATTAATTTCATTGTAATAACAATGTTTACATAATAATCATCTGGGATATTATCTGTAATATGTTTCAGGCATATTTTTAAACCAAATCTGTCTTTGTGAATTGGATAATGGGAATGTGGTACTTTGTTAAGCTTTACATTTAATCATATTAGACGATCAATCGTTGGAAGGAACTGCCTTATATATTGATTCTTAAAATTAAATAAATCACATTTACGGTTCATATTATTGCATACAGCAAGAGTTCTAGGTTGTGTTACTGAAAAAACTAGGGAAGCACTGTAACCATCGCTGACTTTGGTAGCCAGATTACAAACAGCAATATCAAAAATATGCCTTCCAAAATGTTACATGAAAAAGTTCCTTTTTTTATCCATTTGTTTGTTTTTTATTTATTTTGGGCTTTTTTTAAAAGGGTAAGTTCACAAACACGTTCACTTTTCTGGTATTGTTGTTTACCTGAGGTAGCATAAAAATCATCTGGAGCTTTGGTGGGCTTTTTTCCTTTTTTTTTTTTTTTGTTTTTGGTAAATGTAGTCTTCTTCTGTCACCATGAACAACTGCCACATCTCCAAGCGTGAGTCACATTTCACTTTACATTCTCATTTGGCACCACATCGCCTTTTTTTTTCTCCTCACTATCCACCTCAAGACAAACAGCACTCGGGTGAGCCAAAATACACAAATGTTTCAGAAAATCCTTAGAGCACAGACACATTCCTAGAGGATCCAACGGTCTAATGTCGCGCTCCTATAGGTATGTAATTTGATGGCTGAATTTCTGCTGTGACTGGTCTGATAGCAATGAATACAGCCAACAGGTAGGGTCACCGGAAGGAGGGGGAGCACAACTTACAGGTACAGTGGCTCAGACAGGAGTCCTGGCTACCCCAACTTATGATCAGCTGGCTGCCAATGGCCAAAGTGGTGTTTTCTTTCGGATAAATAACCATAATAATATCAAACCCCGTTAATCTTGCAGCAGGAAGCTTGTACAGGCAGTGCCGGTAGCACTATTCCTCCTCCTCCTCCAATCAAGACTAAATACTCATTCCTGATTTAGGAGTACCATGTTCACACCATTTGTGCACACCTAGTGTGTTTTGTAGGGGATTGAATGGGAATGTGTTTTCCTAGCCCAAGGTACTGAAGGCAAGTCATTTTCTTATCTTCTTTTTTTTTTCCAGTCTCTATCAGCAAAGGAAGTTAAAACTGCCAAACATGCATGCACAGAAATGCTGGTATATGGTCTTTCATTAGCTTTTACAGTTAAGTGGGTAGGCTGAGTGTTTCCAATTGCAGCAGTAAGAAATGAGAGCTCTCCTTGAAAAAAAATGTGCCTTTTCTTTGCTTCTGAAAAACATTTCAAAGAGTTTCCAACAAAAAGAAGACTATAACGGTTTAAAGGAAGTTAAGTAGTGCTGAAGAAAGGGACCTACAGTAGGAAGGTAAAGATTTTAAAGAATTACACTGTGTTCCTGTTTCAACAGCATTTGTCTATGATTTTAGATGAAACAGATCATCTCCTTTCTTAAAAAGGATTAAAAAAAAAAGGAAGAAAAAACTTTCTGTGGAATTGATATTTGTCTTTGGCCTTTGCCACTGGGCCCTTTTTAAGCAGCATAGATTAATCCTTGGATGGAGAGAAGAAGCAAAGTATGAATAAGTGTAACTAAGCACCTTTATATTTTGAGCCATGGAAGCTGTTGTGAGCAGCATGAGAGAAAACGAAAGGGCAGAATGGGACCTTTGTAGTGTGATAAAATCCCTCCGCTCAGAGACCGTGTTCACAGTTGGAAGGGGATGTAACTTAAAAGACAATCTAATTAACTTGACAAAGTCTTTGTGGATGCCTGAAATTCAGTTCTGAATACACTTCTCTGTTGCGGGAAAAATCCCTCTCTGAGGGGTTGTTTTTGTTGTTTTTTGGTTTTGTTTTTTTTCCTTCTTTTTTTTCTGTGTATGTGTGTACATGCACCAGGATATATGTAAAAGCCCTCCTTGTTGGTCACATATCTGGAGCTAGCTGCCACCATGATGATTAATGCATGTTCTCTTAACGGTTTTTAAGTTTTTCCTACCAGATTTTCTGTTTCTAGCTGAATGTAGCTTCATGCCTATTTAGCACAAGGCCAGAGTGGATGAGCTTGCACAGCAAGACCCAGAGTGTGGGATTTTTGAGCAGTCACTAAACTGATAAAAATAGATACATAAATATGTGGTGTTTTTTAAAAAAAACTACTTATTCTGATGCACCAGATGCAGACAGCTAGCTCCCATCCACAGTTGGGAACGCCAAAGCCACGGCACCTCCGTGTTGCAGGAGCATCTAGCGCTGTGCACGGATAGAAGAGGGTGGCCCAGGAGCTGGGGCTCTCCAGAGTTCCTCTGCTGAGGGCAGCGTTCCCTCCCAGCTGTGCCAGTGGCGGGAGGTCGGTCTCTTTCCTAGTCCCTGGCACTAACCAGGTAGCGGTGGGGGCCTCGGCCCCGGCAGCACCGTCCCCGAGGAGAAGTAGCACGGCGGCCGGCCCTCCCCTCCCCTTTGCCCTTGCCCTATGTTTATGAACCTTTGAGCACAAAAGCCAGTTGACTGAAGACAGAAAGGCAGATAAGAGCTAACAAACCTTAGGTAAAATGTGTGTTCTAACTACTGATATATCCTAGTTTTTCCCGCCTTTCCCTGAGAAGCTGTATAATGCCATTAACCTTCTGCTTTGATCAGGAGAGAAGGGTCCCTCCTCCAGTGCCAAAGAAGCCATCGAAAGGTCAGGTGCCACTCATACGAGAACGCTCTCTGGAAAGCTCGCAGCGTCAAGAGGCCCGGAAACGGCTGATGGCTGCCAAGCGCGCTGCATCGGTCCGCCAGAACTCAGCTACCGAGAGCGCCGAAAGCATTGAGATATACATCCCCGAAGCCCAGACCAGGCTATGAAGGGATCCAACCGGGAGGACTCTCTCTGGCAAGACAAGCCTCATGTATAATCTGCCCCTCTAGGCTCCTGCTCAAGGTCACCACGAAGTATTTGTACCTCCTCCTCCTCCTCCTCCTCTCTCTCGCTCTCTCCCCCTCCTCTCCCCCTCCCCTCTCTCTGTACGCAGCTGCCCTGATGCTCCCAGTGAACTCCACTGCCGTGGCGTAGTTGTCGGTCCTCCGAGAGATGTCCTCTAATCACCCTTGCTTTCTGAAGGTTCGCCCATGTCATCACGATGCTTTGTCACATGTACTGATGCTGCCACTTTGCCTCATGTAAACAAGCACGATCCTTTTTTCTTTTCTGTTTGGGACAAATAAACGCAGCACTCAGACTTCCACACACCCGCACACCTGTACAGTAGATGCTCCATTTAACTTACTCATGATCTTTAGTTGACCTAAAGCTAGTCTGTTACCCAGTGTACAGCAATATCAAACTGTAGGGGACTTTGGTATTTTCAGTCATGCAGGGTGATCCTTTCAGACTCTGCCGTCTTCCTCACAAAAGATGAAAGGACCTATGACTCGGATTCCCTTCTTTTTATTACTGTTTTTTTTAAAGCAGATGGCGCACTTTATTCTAAACCTCCAAATCACATCTTCACCTGAATTAAGGAGTCACACAGGGGGAGGGAGCTGGGGTGGGAGCGGGGAGGGGGGGGACGAAAAGAAACCCCACAGCTCTGGCAGGTGAAAAAGTGGAAGTATATCCCACAGGTGAGATGGCGAGGGATATAAAAGATCCTGTGGAAAGATACCCGCACACTCACAGCTGTACAAACTGCCTCATTTTTATTTCATCAGTCACTACTTAAACATTTCAATCAGCAGAAGATTGTAAATTCGATCTTCCAGGGAAATAATCTATTTTGAAAGGCAATAAAAGAGTAAAAAGGAAGGAGATAAGAAGCAATGACAGTTGAAGAGATAATATAAAAGAAGGATTTTCTTGTCCAAGTATTAAGAATTTTTAAAATTGTACTGTATTGTCAATTCCTCTTGTATTGTATTGTATGGATTATATTGGTTAAAAAAAAAAAGAAAAAAAAAAGAAAAAAAAAAAAAGCTTGTTTTTGTTGATGTCTTAATCTCGGTGGGACCATCTGATCTCATACGTCCATGCAGCCACACACGGACACCTGTAGGTGAATTACTGTACATGGAGCCTCTGATGCTTTTCCAGGCCAGGCTTGCTTTGCTCTATCCACAGCTGGTTGTATGCTACAGTTCAGACTGCTTATCACCAAACTGTCCATATCTAGGAGTAAATTTCTAATTCAGCCTCCTCTTAATAGTATAAAGTACTCACTTGAACAAGAACAATAGACTATTTTTCACAAGTTATGGGATCAATATGAACTTAATATTTTTCACGACAAGCCTTCCTACCCTGGCTTCTGCCATTGTTTTGCAATCACGAAAAATATGCATCCTAAGTAGCTCATTAATAGTGGGCGGAAATGGCAGATAATAGGGCTGGAGAGGAGCCTGAAAGGTCAGCTCCTGTGTGTCTGTCCCCTCCAGCCACCTCTGGCTGGGGCAGGGGCCTGTCCTCCAGCTCCCCTGATGAGGAACGATGCCGACCACGCTGCTACTGGAATCTCTTGTGCCAACATTAGGAAAGCTATGTCAGGCATGTTGCTGAAAGCGAGTTGTGTGCGAGCGTGTGAGCGTGTGTGAGTGCGCACACGCGTGCCGGACTGGTACGTGCTGCTGCCAGCAGAATTAGCGTGGGCTGCTTGGGGTGACAGGGCTGCTCGGGGTGACAGGGCTGCTTGGGGTGACAGGGCTGCTCTGGGTGACAGGGCTGCTCTGGGTGACAGGGCTGGTGCGAGCAGAGGAGCGCTGTGCAGTCCTCAGAGTATGTGTATCCTGCAGTGATGTTTTCCAGACTCCTCTGCCGCTCCCTACGTGCTCTTCACGCCGTCTGCCAGGGCAGGGGTACGCGGGAGAGGAAGGCAGGCTGCTTTCTGCTCCCAGTGAGCACAGGGACAGCCCCACCATGGAGGGGCACAGGTGGCAGCCCTTGCTGCACGCCACTGCTGGCTGGCTGTGCCCACGGCTGCTCAGCCTCTATGGGCAGTCCAACCAGTGAAAAACCCCACTGCACGTGTGGCGTGATTCTGCAGCTTGCACTTAAAAGGCATTGAAAATCGTCATCGAGAAGTTAAGGTCTTACTAAAACTACTCATTGAGACCATGCCAGACAGCTTCTTTTCCTATGACATCATAGCCAGGTGCTAATTTAATTTTATTTGAGAAAATAGGAGAGGTAATAGGTTCTGGCACCAAGTATTTTCATGAGAGCATACTAAAACCACTAGAGAATTTGCTACCTCTCAAAGCCATCGATATCTGAGCTATGTCTTTATAAACAGGGCACAAATATTTACTGCTGTGGTTTACAAGATAAGGGCTAATAATTTAATATATAAAAGACTTTTAACTAGAGTAATCAGAAATCCAGTGTAACTCTAGAGTGCTTGGTGTTACAGGAGCTTCAAAAGGTTTGACCCTCTAAGCGTTTGAATACCAGTGTATTTGCTAGTTTTGAAACACTGCGTTTAACTTTTAGCAGCAACAAAACATCACCGTGTTTGCAGTATGTAATAGTGCCAACTGCCACTTTTGAGCATATATAGTCATAGGAAGTATTAATTATTTGGAACTCATTTGTACTGAAGTATTTGAAGCAGTACCTAGGTGAGAGTCCACATTCACAACTGTGTCGCAGACTTACTTAGTTTTTGTGAACGTTTTACGAAAGATGAGTTAAGACTTTGGTTGACAAGTGGCTACAGAAATTTATATCCAGTAAGTCCCCCCCTAAAAAAAGAAAAAAAGTGAAGACTATCTAGTCTTGTACATTACAAATCGTTGTATTTGTATATCATAGAATATTTTTTGTATCTATTTTAAATGAATTTATTCTTAGCTGAATGCTTGTTAGTTCATTTGGCACTGGAGAGGTTATTATAATGTTTGCCTAGTTTTTTAGCAGAATATTAAAAATACAGCCAATACCAGAAAATACAAAATAAAATAATTCTGCCCATAAAATGCCACTAGTTGACCACTTGACTCATTTACCAACACTAATGCTAGTATATTTGCTCCATCATCTGTTTTAGTATAATTTGTAACTATTTGTTTTTAGTCTAAACTGCCCAGTGTATATTAAAAATGCCTATATTCTGTTTCACTTTGGGACTAAACTATTGTTTTTTTTTTCCTTGGGAGAAATTTTAGAAAAGGTTGGTTTTGTTTCCTGCTTCAAAAGTTAAAAAACAAAAAAAAGAGGTATTTATTATATTTTTTGCAGATGTTTCCATAAAATTCTCATAATCTTTTTGTAAAGAAAGATGAAGAAATGGATTAAAGATTTTTAATATTTGAAGAGGTAAATAGAAATAATTTATTTGTAATATATTTCAGTTTATTTATTGGTGTTCCCTTAATGCTTTGATGTGCACTATCACTTTAATTTGAAGTGTATCTTTGTGAATTTATTGGGGGTTTTGGTTTTTTGTTTTGTTTTTTTTTTAAGGAAAATGGTCAAATGCATATTTTAAGTAGAATGTAAATCACTGGCCTACCTGCATTCCCAAATGTGATTTTAAAAATGTTTTTGATTTGAAACAAGACACAAATATGAAAGCCTTTAGACAGAGGAGAGTGTTTTTATGGCTTAATGATTTGGGTTTCCATAGGATTATCTATCTGGTTTGTGTGTGGACAGGAAAATGTAAATAGATGAATGTTTCCCATAATGTAAAAAGAGCAAATTAATAAAATAATTAATGCACTGCTTGTAAGAGCTGTGGGTTTTCAATGCAAATTCATTCTTCCAGAACTGCCAAGGCATTTCATTTGATGTGGTCAAGGATAAAAGCACGACAAGCAGAATGTTTCTCTTAAGCTCTCATTGCTTAAGACCGGTCCTGCAAAGTCTCATCCGAAGCATCCTGCTGAGCACCCTGGAAGTGCTCATCTGCACAGAGTTGCTCACAGGCATAAAAGTTGCCATGATCAAGGCCTTGAGCCTTAGCAAAATCTTCAAAGGCGCTTCTGCACAGACCCCAGCCAAACCCCACTGAAGATGCCAGGAGTTACACTGGGGACTTCAAAAGAAGTGGCAAGAAGACCCCAGCCTGTTTGGTTTTCCCCTCGCTGGTTCCCTTTCATTTTCTGCTTATGTCCCATGATGTCTGAATTTTTGGGGGCAAAAGAGATCCCTGGCAGGCATAGCTAACTTTCCCTTCGCTGGAATCCTGCTTCCAGATGGGGTTTTTCCCGCTATGTGAAATAAAGACAGTCACCAAATCCCACAGGAACATGTCCTGGATGATATTCTGCATGGTTATACCAGTATTTAAACAGGTTCTGATTCACTTTGTAGCACCTAGTAGTTATATTAATAGTGTGCCAGTGCTGTACCGTGTACTGTCTGCCCATGCCTAGACCCTCAGCACAGAAAGACCAGAAAGATTTGTGCTGCAGTTCCATAGGCAGGGAAAATTCTGAAAGATGAAGGGATTTTTCTTCACATCCTGCAATTTATGTGCTCATTAGTCACTGATAAATTTGATGTACCAGGGATGGGGGTGAGAAAATGCTTTATTACTTTAAAAACTTTCTGAGGTGTCTGGTACCATTTTGTAATGAGAACAGCTCAGAGGGAGTAAAATAGCAGGTAGGTTTCACACTGTTCTCCAGCAGAGCAAGGAAGTCCAAGCCATGACTGAACCCCGCCTTTCATTCAGGTAAACTTTCTCCCTATTTATACTCAATGTTTCCTTCCAGATCAAATCAGAAGCCTTCCCCACAAGTATATCTTCTTGTCAGTTTGTTTGCCAATGTCTGTTCTCTCCTGCAAGACGTTGTTTTTGCATCACGCAATAGGCAAATAATTCACTTCAGCCATCAGTTTGGAGCATGCTCACCTATCAAATCTGATG